GCCAAGAGCCCTAGAATATTTTGTAAATCCTTGAGCATATTAAGAGGAGCATTTTAGTTGATGGCAGGTATGATTCCTCATTTCACAAATGGAAATATTGAGGTATAAGGAGGCTCTCTCAATGAAAGAGCATGCTTCAGGTTAAGATGAATCTCTATTGGAATAACAACTCCCTAAGATACCCAAATCTTTGTTCCTATCTGAGCTCCTAGGGATAAGGACTATGTCTCGTTCATCTTAGCAGCCTCAGGAACTTGTTCTATGCCAGTATGTTGGGCAGGGGGCAAAAACAGCTTCATTTCTACCAGACCTGAATCTGAAGTACAACTGTACTGCCTCCTTCCCATGTGAACTTCATAAATTGAATCAACCCCTCTGAGCCTTCATTTGTATATTAATATTTCCTCAGTACTACCAAGAAATTCTGGTTCTCAAACCATAACAAGTAGCGAGTATTCTGAGGTCATTCAATTCTGTGTTCCTTGTGGGACTAGGGAGGAAAGAGGTAGCCTCCTTCCCTAATTGTGGATCAAGACTTGGAATAGTTGGAAATTCAAGTGCAGCTCTTTCCCCAGCAACTCTGCCCCAAGCTAGTCTTTTACAGCTGGCTTTGGGCTCCATGGAATGCCTTCGAATTGGCCTCCCAAGAGAGCTGCTGCCTCATCCAGAAATATCATTTAAAATGGAAAAAGTTAACAGGGCTTTAAAATTATCTCATTATACTCTACCCAGCCTCACCCTCTGCCCCCTTCCAGAGGCATGGTTTAGGTTCAAGTGATTTCACCAACAATACCTGGCAGGAAAGCTGAGGGGCAAGGGTTGAACCATGTAGCAGCTATTGTTGCAGTGTTTGGTACACTGGGAAATTTTCACAGAGAAGGCTCTCTCTCTCTCTCTCTCTCTCGCTCTCTCTCTCTTTTCCCTCCCTCCCTCCCACATCTCTCCCTCCCACATCCCTCCCTCCATTCCTCCCTCTCATGCTTTCTATCTTTTCAAATATAAGGTGATTTGTACTTTAAGGAATTTTTAAATATTCAAAACCATGTGGACCAACAGAACATTGATCGTGTGTACAGTCTGTACTTGGCAGCTGTGACCTGCCTCACTGAGATGATCTGTGCTGGGATCACAATTGAAATTTAGAGGCCTGGCTATTTGAGACAACCAGAGTTACTCATTGACAACTTGGGCAATGCCAGTTTTCTAACTCTACATGTTTGTTGGCACAGTTGCCCAGAGCTCCAATTTTTTTCCCAAGTTTCAGGTTTTTAAGAATCTCACCAGGTGCTTCAGTGAGCACCTCTGGGTTTTCTGGATAATGAATGGAAACCAAACACAATTAAGTGAGTTTAAAGTGTGTCTTCATTGCCCTTCTTCTTTCCCTAGTCATGCAGCTAGCCCATTCCTGTAAGTCATATTATGGTCTTTGCAGCAGAGGGGAACCCATATTAGTCTTCAGCAAAATACCGCTACTGCTGTACGTTTTCTCTTCACAGATGGTGGAAATCAAGCAAATCAGCATTATTCCCCATGACAAGTAGATGGATGGATTCTACAGTTTTCAAGCCATTCATCATGTTTGGGAGGGGGAGCAAGAACAGCCATCAAATGACACATTAGAGTCACTTCTAAGAACTCCCACCTAGTGAGGCATTGGGAATCATGCTTGGGGTCATTATTTTCTAGAGAGGATCCAGATAAATTGCCTCCTCTCCCTCTTCTTCCACAAACATGTCCCTTAGTTTGTTCAGGGAAGGAAGTGGTGGCTTGCTCAAGTATCAAAGGGAAAGAAGAATTTATGGAGATTTTAGGAAAACACTTTAGTGCTGTGAACTGGGAATTTAAAGTGTGGAGTCTGGCTTTTAACAAGCATAAGAACACTTAAAAACAAGAGTTAGTGCTGCCCTTCAGGTCAGTTACCCTGGAACTCTGTGCACTGATTTCAACAATGTTGTCATAGAAAGTTCTTCTTTGAAATTGTTTTTTTCCCAAGAATTTCCTCTAGAGTGGCAAATCATTATCCTTTGACCATGGGTGAGTCTTAGCAAGAGCCAAATATTTGAAAAGGAACAAAGTAGGGGACTCAGGTGGAGAATCAGGATCTTAACATTTGTGGTCAGAAGTATAGCATGTACTAGTATACAATTCATAATTTGAAAGGATGGGTAGGATTTGGCGAATGATGGCCTGTAGTCACAAGGCAGGGAGGATTCCATGATGGGTGACTAGAGAGATAATACTCAGGGTTGGATGTAGGCACTGACCTAGTTGTTCTCACTCTCCTAATAGTCTAGCCTTTCTCCATCTCTGAACTGCTTCACCTTGTCTCCTTCTCCTCCATCCTGAACTATTTTTATAGCTGGAGCTTCCCTTTGTAGCCTAGTCTTCTTTCTCACACAGTGTCATCTAATAATCTACACTAATAAAAGAGAAACATGCAAATTGGTGTCACTCCGGTACACCCACCAGCCAATCAGAGCGACTATGCAAATTAACCCAACAAAGATGGCGGTTAATTTGCATATGCAGGCACGGAGCAAAGACAGAAGGCTCAGGCCAAAGTGAAGACTGAAGACTGAAGAGGCTTGGCTTCTCCGCTGCAGCTGCAGCGGAAAAGTCAAACCTCATTGCAGCCAAGGGGAGAAGCCAAGCTTTGCTGCGGCCGGAGGGGAAAAGCTTAGCCTCAAGGCTTGGCTTCTCTGCTGCGGCCAGACCAAAGGCCTGGGTCCCGGGTGCCAGAGGAAAACCGGTGCCTGCAGCCAGAGGAAGGAAGGCCTATTGCATGAATCTTCATGCAATGGGCTTCTAATAACATATATTAGACATAGAATCTATCCTATATAATAAAAGGCTAATATGCAAATAGACCGAACGGCAGAATGACCAGTTGCTATGATATGCATTGACCACCAGGGGGCAGACGCTCAACCCCGGAACTGCCCCTTGGTGGTCAGTGCACTCCCACAGGGGAAGTGCAGCTCAGCCAGAAGTTGGGCTCATGGCTGACGAGTGCAGTGGTGGTGGCAGGGAGCAGGCCTAAGCCATCAGTCAGATATCCCCTGAGGGATTCTGGGCTGCAAGAGGATGCAGGCTGGTCTGAGGGACCCCCCTTGAGTGCATGAATTTTGTGCACCAGGCCTCTAGTATATATATAGTGTCCCAAAATTCACGCAATAAGTAATTTTGATAGAAAACACAGGTTTATAATTAAAAATTGTAAATTTTTTATTGATTTATAAAGTATACAGTATAGGGTTATGTACGGACACACAGTATAGGGTGTGTATAATAGCACATCGGGTAAATGGCCTCCACGGCTTTGCTGGCACATACGCAAAGCCGTGGTCTTCATTGATCTTCATTGTCCCTACTCCTGGGCCATAATTGGTACTTGGTAATGCTTATTAAATTGAAGGGATTGAAATCAAAGGGCAACAGATATTAGAATGATTCAATAAACCAAGTAAAATTAGGCTTTTATTTTTTTGTTGTTGTTGTTGCTAATGCTCACGCAAAATTCAAATCTTGCGTGAATTTTGGGACACCCTATATAAAAGCCTAAGCAACCGTTTGACCGGTTGCTATGATGTGCACTGACCACCAGGGGGCAAACGCTCAATGCAGGAGCTGCCCCCTGGTGGTCAGTGTGCTCCCACAGCAGGAGCACTGCTCAGCTGACCGATAGGTGCCAGACTGCAGGGCTCATGGCTGGCCGTCGCAGCGGAGCGGCAGAGAGCCTACCGAGCGATGGCGGCAGGCACAGTGGGGCCGGGATGAGCAGGAACAGCAGGGAGGAGCTGCAGGCAGAAGTGGCAGGCAGTGTTGGACTGCCAGTTTCGGCCCGATTCCTGCAGGCCGTGCTGAGGGACCCCACCAGTGCACAAATCTGTTCACCGGGCCTCTAGTATTTTATAATAACAAATAAGGGCATGAAAAATCTCACTATATCAGTGGTCCCTGGGAGGAAGCTATGTGCAGAATTTTGGAACAGGAAAGAAGACCCAGAATAATTACCCATCATGCTCCCAACTTGTGCTCCTTCCTTTCCAAGTCTGACCTGTATGAGTTTCTATCTTGAAAAGTATGTTTCAAGGTTTCTCATCTACTTTTTACACTTTTTAAAATTTTTATTTATATCAAACTGATGCCTATTCTTAGTAAAAAAATAATAAAAATCATTCTAAAAAGTTATTCTAACAAGAGAAGTTTCCAGCTGCATCCCTCCCCACCCCATTCACAAGGAGCAACCACTTTCAGTCCTTGTAGCTGTTTCTGCAGACATTTAAATAGCATGCACATACAGCTATTTCTGTATTTTTCATTTTTAGATACTACTACTAACTTCCTGCTATGATCCTTGAGAATTTGACATAATATTTGTTCCCATTATTGTTTTTTCTGGATGCTCTTAGGATCTTCTCCTTATTCCTGATGTTCTGGATGGGGCTCTATGGTGTATGTATGTGTGTGTGTCTTTGTCTGGCTATATATAGATTCACTGTGTCTCAAGACTCTGTACTTTGGTTCTGAGAAACTGTCCATTAATTTTTTTTAGATTATTACTAGTAGCTTTATTTTTTAAAGTAGATGTTTCTTTTTTATTGTTGACAGTATTACTTATTTCTTTTTTTATAATTATTTACTTTTTATTTTATTTTTATTTTTTATTATTTTTTTTACTTTTTTCCCTTTATTGATTAAGATATTACCAATGTGTCATCCCCCCAATGTCCCCTCATTCCCCCCAATCCTGCCCTCACCCTCACCCCCTGTTGTCCACATCCATCACTTATGCTTATAGTATTACTTATTTCTAAAGTTTGTTACACTATCATTCCCATGGGAAAAAAACGCACTGTATATCTTTTTTTTATTTTTTATTTTTTGTCTAAGGCCTCTGGCCATTCAATGGGGGAAGAGGGAGGGGGAGAGACAGCGAGTACAAGGAGCAGGGGAGCCCCAAGACCAGTCCCATGCCCTGCCCTCCATGCTGGTCACAGTCAGTGAAGCAGCAGCTGCACGCCCAGTGCCAGGCCGGTGGCGGCCCCCGCCTTCAGGCTGCCTGCGGGGATGGGGGCCCTGTTACACAGTTCGCCATCGCAGCAGGTGGAGATGAGGCTGTAGGTGGCGCCCTGGTAGGTGACAGCTTCCTCATTGCCGCATGAGGTGGTTTCCATGCAGCCTTTGTTGATGACGTTGCTGAGGCCGGGGGCTGTTCCTTCGCCAATGAAGCAATCCTCGTCGTCGCCACAGGTCATGGGGATGCCGGCGCAGTCCAAGGAGTCGGTCAGATCACAGAAGACGCACTCCTTGGCGCCTGTCGCGAGTTGGGGCAGAGCCACCACCAGGAGCAATAGCCAGCCACGGACCATGGTGGCCTGGTGACACTGGGCCTCCTGGAACTGCTGAATGAAACTCCGCACACCCACAAGACTGTCCCACCTGGTTCTGGCCTCCCAGGCTCAGCACTTGGAGTGTCCTTGCTTCCCAATGCTCCGTGTCCCTCTCAGGAGTGTCTTTCTGACCACAGCTCCTGAGTCTCAGGGTCCCAGAAGCTTCCCAGGGACAGAAACCAGCCAGTGGCTGCTGCCCGATGAGAGTATTTGTGGAGCGGAATGGGGTGACCTCACAGACCCCTCAGGGTTCCGCTGGCCACTCTGGGGGTGAGGTCATGGTGGGGGAGGGGTGTCACAATCTGAAGGGCAGCTTGACCAGCTTACTTGCCAGGGAGCAAGGACATGGACACCCCATCGAGGTAAGAACACTCCACCCAGCACATACCATCCTGGCCACTCAGTCTTCGGCTCTGCTGGGTGCCATGCCTGCCCATTGCCCATGCGAGCCCATTTTTCAGATGGGCAAACCAAGGCTCGGGAGGAGAAAGTGATGTGTTCAAGGCCCCAGGGCCAGAATTTGAGCCCAGGTTTATTTAATTTCAAAGAGGGCATTTATTGAGCACCTGCTTTGTGCAAGACCAGTGCTAGATGCTTTAAATAGCAACCGCTGTGATGACAGGACTCACCACAGCTCATAGGCTTGGGCATGTGTTGGGCACCATGCAGGGAACTCGACCCATGTTCTCTCCTTTGAATCTTTCTGAGTATTAGCTCCATCTAATAATAAATAAGAAAATATCAAATATTGAAGCATCCCTGATATTATGTTTTTAAGGTAGCATTTAAACTGACACTTTAGTCCTGAATTCTGCAGTTTGGATCAAATTATATACTATAATTATATTTTCAGGTTTGAAGACAGTGAAGAACAAGTCGATTATAAGACATTTTTCAATGCCCTGAACTGGAGAATAAATCCGGTGCCCGAGTTAATCCAAGAATCACCCTTGAAAGAGGTAAAATTAATACCTGTTTTAAAAACCAGCTGTGGTATCTCCTTTTCATTTCCCCCCTTTCATTCTTAATAATATACTTTATCTTAAAGTCATTTTTCTATGTAAAATATTAACATCAATGCTTTTGGAAAGAGTGCTTATGTATTTCTGGGTATTTGTGTTAAAGGATAATTCACTTTCCATGCTGAGCGAACATCTGTTCTATAAGAGGATGACTTTTCTTATGCAGCTGAATTTTTTTAACCTTAGTCACATCCAATTACATGGAAGATAGGATAATAGGTTATAGTTATAAATAGATATAAACACTGTTATCAAGGGATTCTGGTAACATCATCATGAGCCACAAGTACAAATCTCAAATGGTGAATATGTCAAGAATCCCCAGCGTATCTGTGGCTGTACACACAGGTTTGCCTTGGGTCAAACAATACAGTATGTGGATGCACATTTCACAGTGGAGTCACATTTAAAATGAAAATTTAGTAGAAAAATGCTTGGTTAGGGAAAACAAAGTTCATGTGATCAGATGGTGCTCTCAACATTGTGGAATTGTCTAAATTCTCTAGGATCTCTTTGGACCAATTGTCTTGAAGGAGTGGGTGGATGGGTGGTGGTTTGTTTATATTTTAACATGCTCCAGAAATTGATTTTCTTGGGAAAATCCCTTGATAAAGCAAATGTCATGTGTTTGATACTCCCAGAAAAGAGGCATTTATTCCTCTGGATCTCTGCTGACCAGCTCATTATGGCCTGGCCTGGACTGGTGCCCCTGGGGAGTGCCCTCAGGCATGTAGCTATTCTGGAGTGTCAGGCAGCTTTAGAACTTCCAGATGATTGGGAGACAGTGATGGCCTTTGGAATAAAACAGAACTAGGGTTGAATTCTGGATGAGTAACTTCCTTAAACTAATTCATTTATAAATTTTATTCTCAGACACATCATGATTAAGTGTAGACTCTCTGGAGGTTCTATGTTCTGTGCTGGGGTCCAGAGAAAAAGGTCAGGGGCCCACTATTGATACGGGAGTCAATCAATATACTCATGATTTGGAGGATGGCACGATACAGCATGCATGGGATGTAATGGGATGAGGAGGAAGCTGCTTATAAGTCAGACTGGGATTGGGGAGGGACAGGAAGTCTTCTTAGTGGAGGTGATGCTTGAAGTTTCATTGATGAATCCTAAAAGTTAGCAAGGTAGGAAAGTGGCACGGTATGGGCAGGGCATTTCCGAAAGAGACTCTGGGACATGGGACAGCATGGTGCTTGCGCAGAACCAGGAGGAGACAGTGTGGCTGGAATGAAAGCACAGAGGGAAGAATGGAGAAGGAGAAGGCTGGAGATAACTGCAAGTATAAGTTTTGAATATTGTCCTGCAATATATGGAGACCATGGACAAGTTCTAAGGAAGAAAGTTACGTGATTAGGTGAACCTTTTAAAGGGAGCTTGGTCTGGCTGGATGGTGGGTAGATTAGAGAGGGAGCATGGAGATCCATTAGGAGGCTCAGGACTACCATCATCACCATAATAACAGCAAACAGAACATTTACTATGGGCAAAGCGCTATTCTAAGACCTCCAAATCTATTAGCTCATTTAATACTCATAGCAATCCTATGAGGTAGATACTTTTACCATTCCCCTTTTAGAGATGAGGAAGTTAGAGAACTAGCAAGGGTTTGGTAAAGTCAGAAGTTTAACTCAGATCTGTTTTACTGCAGAGAATAAAAAAGAAAAGGAATCTGATAAATATAATTGAAGATACAGGATTTAATGAACTAAAATCCAAGATATCATCACAGAAAATGATACTGTCATTTAATAACCTTTTAATTCTTATCCATGTAAATATTTAATTTTTACATACAAATTATAGAGTTTATATTCTACCTTTTCATTTAATGTTATGCCATTATGTGTTGAATATCATCCATTTGCCCCATGAAGACTTTTCTCCAGCCCCCTCTACCTTTGCTCTGAATCTCAGGCAGCTGACCATTGCCAGCTGCATCATTGGGGCTTGAGCCCTCTGGCCTCCAATTGGGTTGGCCAATGGAATGCAACGACAGGAGAGTGGAGGGTGGGTGGAGAGAGAAATCATCTCCCTCCCTACCAGTCACAAGACACCGACTGCCTCCTCGAACCAAGGCCCACAGCACCTATCCGGAGGCTCTCTCCTTACAGCTGTCCACTCCAGGTTCTGATAAGCACCCTCACATGGCCCTTTAGCCCCGGGTGGTGGTAATGGCACCCCACTGCTACAATCCCCGAGGGAATGGACGATCCCCCGTTGGTTTCCCTAAACACTTCCAACAACTTTGTAGATATTTATTTGATTAAACTCTTCTCAACTTCCACAGTTTGCATGTGCTCTGTTTCCCATGGGATCCTGAGTGAGACACATACTTATTTTTGCTAGTTAGCAACTGTCTTTGTTGTTCTTTTCCTTACTTTCTACTTCTCTCCTTTTTTCTTTTCACCCAATCCACCACCCAAATGTTTACCTGTGTGTTGGGGATTTCATCATCTGTTGTACAAAAATATAGTCATGCTGCATGCATTTATCTTCAGTGTGTTTTTCTCACTGAATAGTAAATCATGGGAAATTTTTCTAGTTTAATATGTATAGACCTCAGCCATTCTTTAATAAGTGTAGTGTGGATATAGAATAATTTATTCATCCATTTCTAATCTTACACTGTGGCAGGGAACTGACAGGGGAGTGGTTATGCTAGAAGGGGCCATGGAGGAGTTGGACCAGATGTGTAGGTTGGTGGAGCCCAGTTGGGCAGAGAAAACCTGTCACTTAGATCTTTGGGGATCACCAACATTTGGGGAGCCTGCCATAGCGAAAAAGTCCCATGTGGGACTTTAGGACAAGATCCACCAGGCTGTGAAGCACCCAGCCCTGAGTGTGATGTGACAATATTCAAGTTTTCTTAAGAACAAGGAATAGCAGGCTTAGCTACTCTGTGGAGGCCAGGGGTTGGGCATCTGTATGCTTCCTTCAGTTTATGAGTTGGTCAGGCTGGCTGTGCCTGAAGCTCCAGAGATGCCATGAATAAGTTCTCTAGAAGTTATTGGCACCTGCCACCACTTAGAACCTGGATGTCTTTACTCCTGGACTGAATGTTATCCTCAAGAGGATCTCATTCCTGAATTCTGGATCTTACTGAGAAATGAAACGGGACTTCTCAACTAATGAAAGCTAAGCAGGACTAGGTACAGATTCAACACCAAATATGTTCGCATCAGCATTAATGGATGAAATGTGTGGTGGGGGTGGGGATTTGAGACACCTTCCCAGTGTAGACTGTTTAACTGAAGTTAATGAGTTGAACCGGGAGGATCCAAAAAAGAGGAACAGGACCACAGGTGTCAGCAACCAGAGACTGAGTAGGACATGGGATTGGAAGGGCAGGGCATCCGGGAATTTCAGCAGGGGTCTCTCCAAAACAGGGAGTACAGTGGTCTGGAATCCTGAAGTTAGCGTTATTCAGCAATCATAGGCTAGTCAGCAGGCTTGGACTGAGCCTTCAGTCCTGCTCAGGGGACAGAATAGGCTAAGTCACTATACCAGTGAGGTTTCATCAGGAAATACACACATAGTACACTCAAAGGAATCAGGGATATGGATTTAATGAAGGGACTCTTGACAGAGGAGTGGGTAGGGTTCAGGAGAACCAGTGAGGGCAGTGGAGCACTCAGGGACTAGCAAGAGTGGGAAGGCTTTACCATTCCTTGGTCTGAAGAAGCAGAGGTGGGTGGGTAGTATTATTGGAGCCCCGTGCAGAAGTTAGAGCATGTCAGAAGGTAGAGGAGTGTAGCCACTGCCAAACCATGGCCAGGCAGGAAGGGAGTAGAGGAAGGGGAAGTGGAATCAACACCCTGATCTCTTGCTACTTGGAATTGGCTGGACCCACCCCAAATCCAGAGAACAAGGAAGCTCAGGAAATGATGCCATCCACAGAGGTTGGCCTCAGTGCGGAGAGCTCCGTGAAAAAAAGGAAGGGCACAA